AAATATATCTTGAAGCACAAACAAATCTCACCCATGTTAGTTTAAAATTAACAACAAACGAAATAGGGTTTTATAACCTAAAATTATGCTGATAAAAAGCTTCCTGATGACCAGTTTTTCACTCAACACTAATATTTTTTTAAACGTAAACGCAGAATTTTCAGTATTTATTGAAATACTAACGTGGTCCTTCATCATGAATATTTTTAAATGAATGTCGATTGATAAGCTGGCTGATTCAACATAAAACCGTACATAACGCTGTGTTATTATGGATGACCGAAAAAACTGTTGCTAAAAACCACGGAGAACATAAAAGTTTATAATATTCAGTGATAAGTAAACAGGAAAAATATTTTCTGTAACCAGAATAGTTTAATTTATATCAAATAAGTCAATAATTCTGTACATGACTGAAATTAAAAATCAATCACGTTATACACTGATAATAAATCCGCTGATTTCGTGATTATTCTCAGCTTGTTCAACTCTATTTATTAATACACTGAAAGACAGAGAGTAAATTACTACAAATGGCTAAAGTTTCAATAATATAATTCAAATTTGGAATGGTTTGGGTTATCCCGTTGTTGGTATTTTTTGACCAAAATTCGATTAGTCTTGGCTGGCATATTATGGGCATCCTATGTGAATAACCTTGATATAGTCATACAGGATAAATGAAATGTGTCTAACAGTAGATTCTTGGATTCCACTGCTAGCCACATTCCTTCTACTCTATTTCAATAGTATATTAATGTGAATAACTTATAATTAGGATGAAATAACTAACAAATATTCTGTATTCTTTAGGAATTATTCATACGCGATTAAAAATAACTGAAAATTCGCGGAAAATCTTCTGTTTATTGCCTAAATATTTGTTATGAATGAGCTTCAGTTATCGAGTTGATTGTTGACAGACCAATTCTAGAAAAAAAATAGACAACTGGCAAAAAAAGGAATAATTTAAAAAAATCTTTCTATTAGAAAATTCATTTCCAAACATTATCATATAATAAAATGGTGCGGCCGAGAGTGGGGAGAGTCTGCTCTCCCTCTCCAAATGCTCTCACATGGCCACGCATATATAGGCTCTGCCGGGGAAGTCCTTATCGTGGCATTACTGTTGTTTACGAAATTGAGAGGACGAAAAGCGAATGTCCGGAGCTTTAACCGGGTTGGTGGACACGAAAAGTCCACCTAGTGGAGTTGGAAAATCCCGATTCCAAACCAATGGTGCACATGGGCTCAAAGATCCTGAGGGAACAAATAGCGTATGAATCAATTGTTGGTCACCGGCTACCATGAGACTGCATCTCCTCACGATGGTCCACTGCCTTGTGGATTAGACCTTTACGTCAAGGGCTCTGGGTGTGGCCACCTAAGAAAAACACCTGCTTCAGTTTGAGCACCTGAGCAGTATCACAGCCCTCACACAAATCAAATGAGATTTGTGTGGCGCATATGTATCTGGTGCCCCTTTGTACCAATATTTATGTGTTCAAATAAATAAATAAATAAAATAAGATCAAATAACTGATGTTCAAAGAAGAAGTTATGGTAATGAAAATGCTATTTGAAAGTTTGTTCGACTGTAATTAAAAGTATCGAAATACGACGCATTACAAGTTGTCTATCATTATAAATAATTAATCTACCCGCCCATGAACTGACATATTTACTTTCGTACTGTTAGAGGTTCTAAATTTAATGAGTTGATGACTTATGTGTATATGAGTTAAAGTTAAATACCTAGTCAATATTTTAATATTTTTAATTATTACATTCATTGATATCGGTTTGGCGCAATAAAACAACTATTTTACTTGAAGACGACAGGTGGAATAGTATGCCTTAACATTTTTGTCAATAATGAACGAACAGACAATGTCCATAATCTCCTCTTTTGAATTCGAATTATTGTTATTTTACATATTAAAATGTTTGTTTTATTTATAATCATTATTTATTCGATATTTTGTTGCTAAAATAAGTTAAGCAAGGGATGGTGTAGGAAAAGAAAAGTGTTTGATTTACTGTTATTTGTTTATTTTTCCCCATTGTTTATTCCTTATGCACATAAACACAATAAATAAACATAAATCAATGATTAGTCGATGTAAACATTGACAATTTAATTTAATTTGACCGACATTAGTGTTCTTTAAATAGATTAACAGTTCATAGATATTTGAAGGCATCGCCTATTTTTTTGATTACCTTAACTGTATTCAACAACTCAATAAAGTTGATTAATATTTGAATGTTTCAATTTTTTAAAAAACGGGAACAAAGTGCTTTTTATAATAATAATAACTTATTAATGATGATAATCTTGACTGTATACTTCAAATTGTTTACTTCAAATTCATTCGCTGAAAGTTTACAAATATATTCTTCCTATTCAATCTCGACTGTAAAAAAAAGAGGGGGGGAGTCTTTTAACCCTATTATGAAAAATAGTTTAGCCGTTATTTCGTTTCGATGATTCATTTTCTCCATACTAACTCATTCATCATAAAATCGTTTGTTTATCTTAGAAGATAGAGCTGATCACACTTTATGTATTGACTATAGTTATGCTGAGCACTTATAATCCCACTTTACAATAGACTTAAATAGATATTATGTTATAACTTCAATTAAGGTAATCAGATTCTCATCAAAACTTCAACTATAAAATAATTTTAGAACAGACTTGGTTTTTTGATAGTTGTGATTAGAGAATACTGTTGAGACTGATGAATCCAGAGATTTACATCACAAGCTGACTTTGTTAAGATAACCAGTGAAGTCCAAAAAAACATAGGGAAGCTACTAAGTCCTAGCATAGGAATTCTCAGCAGTTTGTATCCATGACCTTATGAGGAGTCGAACCTCGGAAATTCAGGCCTCTCAGCAAGCACCTAATCTTCAAATCCAAGAGTTAGGATACAATGTTTTGCATTCATTATTTCAGTCATTTTTTGATATTTTATAAACACTAAATATAGTTAAAATGTGAACACTTGTGACATTTTACTGGTCTAAAATTTAAGCTCTTTCCATGAAGCCTAAAGATCGTGGATTTGATACCTCGTGAATCCATGTAAGTTCACTGCTGAGGAGTCACACATTGGGAAGAAGTAGCTATCCAGTGCTTCCTGATTTTCACTAGTTTTCCAACCAAAGTCAATTAGTGACATGATATTTTCTATACAGATACCATTTCTTGGTGATATTTGTATCTAATTAATATTTGAAATTATTCATTTTACTTTGGCTGATTTTCCTGGTCATTAAAAGGAAATGCATACTGGGAACGGACTAACTAACTTCACCCTAATATCTTTAAAGAAATAGTAGATTATCTTTTAATCTCATTGTTGTCCTAATGTTTTCTTTACTCCAGATAGTGTTTACATTAGCTACTTGTAAATTCAAAATCGTATCTCAATAATTTAAGGACTCAATTGTTCAATAATTAAATAGTAAGCTCAAATCCAAATACATCAACTTCTATTTGAGTATATGGATTGTATGAGTATACTTCCTGAAACACGTTTTTTTTTCAGCTTGAGGCCTAACATAGACATCTAAAGTGGATTATTAAACAATATACATGTTCTTTAATACAAATTTGTTTTCATATAAATTTAATTCTAATAAGAGTTCGCTAACCGTTCATTAGCTACACAACCTGATCACGGACATCGAAAGGAATTTAAATTTATCATTATTTATTATACTGTCCTCTAGTACTATACCTTCATCTTATTACAGTCTGACTTGTTGTTTTTCATTCTGCTCTTAACTATTTTTTAGACAATATTGTCTATTCAAAGTATGTGGAAAAAATTTTGAAAAAATTGAAGAAAGATAGTTTATATTCAAGGATAAAAATATTTATGAACTACTGAAATTAACAGATGATGAGTACTTTTCTATTGTTGATGAATTGAAATCAATGGACAAATGAAAATCATAAAAAGATGTCTACTGATGATGCAGTCTGTCCTGGAAATATCACTTGTGTGGACTAACCTTTGGTCATTAGCCTGAGAAAATTGAGGGCATTTGATTGTTTGATCTAACTATTATAGTCTTATCAATTTTCATATTAGTTTGAATTCGTTTATTCTTCTGGAAATAAATCAGAATGTTAGAAACCACTTTTAGAGGTATAAAATTAACATCGTTTCAGTAGAAGGACTGTGTAGCTAAACCTGAGTTAACTAGCATGCCGAAGATTAAAGGGCAACAATAATGACTTCTAATTGTAAATGGCTCTTATTTGACTTGACATTCACAATTAGCCTAAATGAAACAAAAAACCTTAAAAGGAGCCACATCTTCAGAAAAACAATCATTCTGCATTACTTCCTTTTTGAGATTCAGTTGTCATACGGCATATATCGAATTTAATCAATCGAGTGATATATCAGAACAAAACACTCAGACGTGTTTCTAAATTGATTCTGGGGATTTCCTGAATGTTGATTAAAAAGAAACACAAACTGGCTCTTTAATTCAAACCTATAATCATTATTATATAATTAAACTAATGGTTCATGACTCGTTCCTCGTCAACAAAACCAGTGAATTTACAAGGATTTTTCGGCAAATATTAACAATTACAAAACCCTAGGTTTATAGCCTTTTCCACGTTCATCTATTAGTTAATTCGACGTGTACATTAACTAATATACATTTCTTATAAACGAAATCATATAAATCACACTTCCACGAATTTGTACGTTTAGTAAAGTATAAAAGTTTCAGCATCGACGCAAATTGTTTTTACATTGAAAATTCAATTATTTCTCACATTGATCATATTCAATGAATTTAACACTAAGGTCATATCCAAGATATTTTTACTAGGTCGGCTAACTAAGATCAATTTGGTTAAATAAGGTATAAAATTTAATACCCTAAGTTTGAGGAATCGTTTATCAATACCGTAAAACCATAAAGTTTCAAATTCACAAAATTACTGAAAAATGTGATAAACTTACCAAGATCGACTAAACCAAAAAGTTTATCCTTTTTACGTCTCTTTTTGCTAGTATCATGTTGACTAGTTGTTGTAGATTGTGGATGCTGTGGTTTTGGTGGTAATTCTTTAGGTGGTGATGGACGTTTAGGTGTGCTTACTGAATGAGAAGGCGGTGGAGGGACTGGAGGTGGTGGTGGTCTCATTGGAGGTGTTAAACTATTTTCATTATTTATTTTCATCAAGCTTTCAGTAGAGGCACTTGTGATAATGATTGATGGTGTTGTTAAATAAGTGTTACTGTTATCACGCATATTTTCCCACTCTGAATTGTGAGCAGTTAATTTAGTAAGCGAAAATGGACCTTGACTTAGCTCGTCATTACTTGATTCATACTGATCAGTATTCTCCTGTTCCTGTATTACTTCACCATAGCTAGTTTCATGCATTTGAATGTTTTGTTCTCTATCAATAGTTATAACTAGTGATTGTTGATTTTCATCATCATATTTATAATAATCGTCTTCTGAATTACTACGAACAGATTGCCGATCATCAATTTCGTCTTGGTATACATTTCTAGTATCGCATTGTGTATTTTCTTTGTTTTCACCCTCTTCTTCTGGCTGTTTTATAGATGTCAGTGATTGATTCATTGAACTTTGAATACTTTTTGTACTTTCATCATCTTGTTCTTCTGTATCGTGTTCCTCTTCATTATCACTAGATAATGAGAATTGTTTTGGTGTTTCATTAGAAAATGATAAAACGTCATCATAATCAGCATGATCAATTATAGGATAGTCGATTTCATATTCAACAGCTAATTTTGTTACACTTTTATCGTCATCAAAATAATTGTTATTATTTGTATAGATTGCATACTCATTTTCCGTCGAATTCTCTCCTTCTGATTCATATTGTAAATCTGTACTGTCATACGTATAAGTTGATAAAATGTTTGTGTCGATTTCATTTTTATTATCAATGTGATTGTCACGTATACTGGACGATAGGTTATTCGATTCGATATCAATATTTTCAAGAGATTGCGATTGTAATCCAACAGGTGTATTAGATTCATTATCATCCATTGTTCCTATTGTTGTTTTTTGTATCTTGTTTTCATCACTTATTGGACACTGAAATGCTTGAGATTTATGCATAGGATCACTTTCTACATCCGACATATCTGTTAATTCAAAACAATCATCTTGAGCTAGAGGTGCTGGAGATTCACATTCTTTTGTTTGTCGTTTGCCATATTTTGAACTAACTACACCTGCTACTTTACAATTATCATTAATAGCAGTACTAGTAACGATACTGTCTATGTGGGTTGAGGCATCATTTTCGAGCGTACTTGGTGGCACAGATATTGCCCTGACCGACGTTTGATGAACTTTACGCTTAGGACTTCGAGTTCTTCTGAGACTTGCAAGTACCTGAGCTCGAATAGAAGAAGATGAAGGAAAAGACTTTGGATCTTGTCCGGATGAAATTTTCTTTGAAGGTCTTGTACGAGATCTGACCACGGGACTCTGAAATTCATTATCACTGTCATTCTGACTTAGCGATGTTTGATCAGCTGACTCACTGCGTGTCTTAGCCCGAACTTTCGAACTTCGACGACTAATAAATGCAATTGGATTAAATTTAAAACTCATTTCTCAAATCATATATTCGATTGGGATATCTTAACACAGATAATAGTATACAATCTCGGTTTAAATACATCTTGTATAATTGTCTTCAGCGCAACTTCAGTCTTTTAGATTTCAAATAATTAAATGTATGAATCTACACGTGGAAATTGAGTTAATCAGAATCTGTTATTAAACCAGTGATCATGATTTATCCATATTTCTCACATGCTTTGAAAAATCGAAACTACTGATGTGTGGTCTGTTTGTTTATCAGAGCCTAGCGTCCACATATCTGCTTATGTGATGGTGATGGTCGTATTATTCAAAATGGTCAGATATTTGTAGTAAGGACAGCCACAAAATATCCTTGTCCTCACTAATATAAACTAGTCAGGAAACATTTAATTTACCAAGAGATGAGAGGCTGACAGATATTTTCCATCACTTTATCAAATAGGAAAGTAAAAATAGCTCAAATTCAAATTCCGCCCACGTAAAATGTTAGTTTGCCTTTCGTAGGGTGAGACTTGAAACGATTTAGGAGTGGTGATGGGAGATCTAAGATTTTGAAACTAGTTGAGTAAAAATATTCTTAAAAATATAACTTGTAAAACTGATTTCTATGGTGATTTATACTCACTTTAAAAAAAGTAGTAGATTTTAACTTTGATTTTCTGTTCAAACTCAGTTAAGACAATTTAATATAAAATTTTATTTGTTTTCATTGGGATAACATGTAACGTAGATGAACTAACTTGGAAACTAAAAATTATAAACGGAATTTTTTAGAGATTGTAGTAATTTTAATAGTTGAATTCATGAGTAGATCTAAGCTAGAACACGATTGAAAACCTGGAAGCACTGGACAACCGTTTCGTCCTAGTATGGAACTCCTCAGCAGTGCTCATACGGGACTCGAACCCAAAGAAAATTTTGGTCGATAGAGAAGTCTGTTTGATTATTGACATGCGACGCTTAGTTCAGTTAAAGGAAAAAAATGAGATAGGATCATTTTGTGTAATTTACCCCACCCATAAGTCTCCACTTATGGAGTTGATTTCAATCACAGACTGACGTCATCTAAAGAATAATTAAAAACCTGACAAAAGAAACTTAATACACCAAAGGTAACAATTTCAGAAGAATGTACGTGAATAAAAGTAAATCCGCTTTCTTTCATTCTAACTGGCACTTCATATAAATTTCTAAACACTTTAGTATATTTGGTAACTAGCAATAGAATCCAAGAAATGTATTTCATTCTATTTGAAATTTGTTAGTGTTATAACGTATGCCCTGAGCAGTCTTGGGTGCTATTCGGTCCTTCCTATCTGCCTAGCCCAGCCAGTTAAGTCCAGAACACAAATAACAGCCTCGGCAATATGAATCATTATTTACAAGCATACTGGGTTTTTATACAAACCAAAGTAATCAATAAACTGATTATAACTCAAGAATCGTATGATCATAAATCAAAGATCAAAATAATAGAAAACACGAATATGAATAATTTAGTTACGTAACAACTGTACAATAAGAAATAGGCATAATACATTGGTCGATAAATAGTCCTTAGAGTTATCATTCATAATTCACCAGGGGATATAACACCTCCCCTTTTTGAGAAATCCGGAGTCGACATCCGGATTTTTAATTTCTCGAATTCATCCCCCCCCCCACGAAAGACTGTTGGATCCTCACGAACCCAAGTTACCATTATTGTGACATTATTTAAAACATATTCGTCGTATTTAACTGAGAATCCACGAGAACTTATTAGATCGTGAGGATCGACTACATTCGATTTGAGGTCACCAGCGTCTGATTCTTCTGAAACAGTTTCCTTGAATTTACTCGGAACCTCATTAGTAAATAATGAATCATTAGGATAATCAGTATCTATGAAAGTTGTATTGGATTCTTGATTATCATTTAATGCATCCGATATTTTTCTCCCATTTTTATAAGAGATTTGAACTGGAACATATGAATCAGCAAAATAATCGGGATCTGGCAGAACAATTAGATAATTTTGATCATTAGATTCATTAGAAAAATTTTCCGTATCATGAATAATTTCATTTGGCGCCTCTGCATTCAATATACTGCTCGATTTGCTTCCCATTTCTTCGTGGGCGGGTACTGCAGCAATTTCATGAGCATTTGACATGGCATCATGTTGCTGAGAGCTGGGAGCATCACTGTTCGGACCTGCTAATTCAGGGATAGTGGTGTTTGAATCCACTACCGGGCACGTTTCTGAAACAGGCAGCACCGGACTACTGGGCTGATCATGTAGGACTGTTACTGCTGCATCTAAATTACTGTTTTTCGCGGATTCATAGAGGCTTTCCTCTGCATATTCATTTGTTCTGTAATCGACTTCCAGTTCCGTACGCAATTTAGAAATCAATGCGTCAACTTCCGTTGCACCCCCAAAGCATGGGTGATTCAGCAGCGTCGCGTGTAACTTGTCAATGAAATCCAACTGACTCTTTTTAAAACGCTGCTCTTGTCTCTGAATTAGCAACTGAAATTGATCGGAAGTTAAAGTCATTTTTTTTTACCCCGTCGTCAGTTGTTATAACGTATGGGCCCGTAATATATATGAACGTGCAATTAGAGAGGAGTGAATTTATTGATCGGCCGCAAATGATGATTGAAATCGTACGAGCAGTCTTGATTGCGTATCGGCCCTGCTATCTGCCTAGCCCAGCCAGTTAAGTCCAGAACACAAATAACAGCCTCGGCAATATGAATCATTATTTACAAGCATACTGGGTTTTTATACAAACCAAAGTAATCAATAAACTGATTATAACTCAAGAATCGTATGATCATAAATCAAAGATCAAAATAATAGAAAACACGAATATGAATAATTTAGTTACGTAACAACTGTACAATAAGAAATAGGCATAATACATTGGTCGATAAATAGTCCTTAGAGTTATCATTCATAATTCACCAGGGGATATAACACCTCCCCTTTTTGAGAAATCCGGAGTCGACATCCGGATTTTTAATTTCTCGAATTCATCCCCCCCCCACCAGGGGATATAACAGTTAGTAAGATTTACCTACGTTCGAGAATTGAAGTTCACACTGTTACTCAAACCCAATAACTTTCGCTTCAAATAACATGTTATCATTTAAACCATTGAGACCAGATGATCACTAACGTCTTCGAGTAAGATGGTATTAGTAAGAGTTTATACTTATTTGTTATTGATATTTGGCACTGAAACTGACTAGTTCCTGTTGTTTTATATGCATTATGATAGGTTTGTCACTATAAAGTATTTAGAATATGCACATTTTGTGTGGTGACTTTTTAGTTCCAGTAAGATTTTCTGACCCTTGGTTATAGAAATAGCTTTCTCAAATGAACGTTTAAGTCAGGGGACGGTCCACAAGCATACTTAAATATTGTTGTATTCGCTGTACTTGCTGTAATAATTAGATTTTAACAAGGTTTAAAGAAAGATATTCACTTTTATTTGATGAATGCATTTAAGTATGAACAAAAAGTCTTTCATATACACTGACTATTTAATTTGGTTTTCTCACTATAACTGCTTAACCGATATTAGCTATAAAAAGATTATTTATTCTTTGGAAAAAAACGAACTTACATGTAGCAGCGAAGTGTCAGAAATTTCTTATTTTATCCACTGAAATATTACATATACTTGGGGGACACGGCGAGTCCACCTAGGGGAGTTGGAAAACCCTGATTACAAACCAATGGTGCACATGGGCTCAAAGATCCTGAGGGAACAAATAGCGTATAAATCAGTCAATGTCACCGGCTACCATGAGACTGCATCTCCTCACGATGGTCCACTGCCTTGTATATCAGATCTTTAGGTCAAAGACTCTGGATGTGGCCACCTAAGAAAACCACCTGCTTCAGTTTGAGCACCTGAGCAGTATCACAGCCCTCACACAAATCAAATGAGATTTGTGTGGCGCATATGTATCTGGTGCCCCTTTGTACCAATATTTATGTGTTCAACTTAATAATAAATAAATATACTAATATTTCTATGATTTATCAATAAGTATTCGCAAAACTATTTGGTGGATATCAACTTATTAATCTACGATTTGATTGATCTTAGCGTAAAAGAGTAAAGTCTTGCAACTGATGAAATATCAATGAGTAAACTCGTTTTCTGTCTCTTTTTATCTTTTAGATATATAAGTCTAGTCAATGAAATACTAGACAAATAAATTTTAAGAAACTTACAAAATAACTACCAAGAGGAAAATCCTGATCAATCCTGACCATCTCCATTCTTATCCATCCTGTCTTTCTATCCGCTTAGTATTTATAATAAGTATAGTTAATTTCATCCACAGATAGATACACAATACAGTGAGAATATTATTAGCCTTTTCTATATGAGATAGAAATCCGTACCAACTATAAGTAAAATTCTAAATTTTATGATAGTACACATTTTTTCTGATCCCATTTACTATCATAACTTGAAAGTCGAAAACATTTTAAGTATTAACACATAATTTAATTTGTTTATTTTTAGTGGTAGCTTAATGATTAAACACTGATCATTCAACCAATAGGTTTCAGGTAGCAGCCCTGATCTACCTAGTCGGGGTAGAATCACTGAAGTCCATCTCCGACCAAAGCAAATAGATCTACGTCAATAAAATGAATTGACCTCATTTATAAAAATAAGTTCGATCACTTGACTAATATACGCTTGTCTGCATAGCTTACACTATGTAAACCGCAATCGGATTCTACTCACAATTTAGTGCTTGGGATAATATCTTCCTATTGTACTGGGACAACTTCTTTATCATCAAAATATGCCCTTATTTTATTCTTTTTTAAATTCTTAAGTGATTTTTTATTATCACAAAAATAAATCTGGAACTACTTGTTACTTTACGAAATGCTATGTGAATTTATACTCAGATAGGTAAAGCATAAACTTTACCTATCACATTCCTTTTTGAATGAGATTTATATTTGGATTTTACCTCTAATAACTAAAACAATTGTCGAAGAAACAGCACTTCGACATTGAGTTTCTCAAGACAATAAAGTAGCATCAACCCAAATAGCTCTGTGGTAACGTTTCTGCCTGAAACACTTAATGAGACAAGTTCTGAACTTACAAAACAAATCACTTCCATAAAGACTGTAGAAACGCCCCCATGATGAATAGCCAAATAACACGAAACAAAACCAATCAGTCAGTTAGCTACAACATAGGACCAGGCATATATAGGCATCGGTCCAAGTTGTCATACCTCATTAGCACAACAAGACCAACACTAAGTTCATCAAAGTTCTTACTTCAATGGTAGTAATTTATAAAAAAAGTTATGTATGGGGATAC